TGAGTTCGGTTCCCGGTACCGGAGAAAAACCAAAAAAAAAAAAAAAAAAAAACAGAAACATTTCTCTCCTCACCCTCCACTCTTTCTCCTAATTTAGAGAGAAACTCAAATACTCAGATCATAAGAGGCTCACACCTTTATAAACAATTAATAAGAGAGGAATAAAGCCAAACAAACTAATATCTACTAGATAGCAGATGGAACCCAACACATCATCATTATCATACTTTCTAAAGTACCTTAGCCATTTCCCAGTTATGATGGAAACTAATTACATTTCCTTTGAATTTACTAACACAATAGCACAATTTAATCAGGTAAGATAAAAACACAAAAGAAAGACTATGGCAATTTCTTTTCTTTTAAAATGCAAAGCAGCACCAATGTGCCTGTAGGGACCTTCATTACTGGTTCCTCCAACCTCAGAAGTGTGAATCTATAATTTTAGATTCAATCCCAGTAAATTTCACATAATCAATATTTAGAGAACTTTAGAGGAATGCAATTGTTATATGCCTCTGAAAACATGACACTGATAATGGATTTAACAAAACTACCTTAGCTATACTGGCAAGAGTGCCAACCTCACAACAATTTTTATTTGACCAGAATACTAATCACTGAACTTCAAAGACTGTTCAATGGCTAGAATCACAGCAGTGACTCAAAGCCAAGCGGAAGAGAGCAATGCAAGTATTATCTATATGAGAGAAGGTGTGTTGAGAAAATAAAGATACAGTTCTGTTATATGTGGCACTTGTAGAGGTTATGAGTAAAAGGTGGCATAATCCATAATGTCTAATAAGAGAAAAATCAATTTATAGTGCATGTGAAGGGTCCTTAATGCACTGATCTTTAACACTGATTACAGTAAGCACAGTCTCTGATATCACAAGCAACTATTTTCAACAATCACAGGCAACAGACCCACTAACATGTAATTCCCACTATCATAATCAAAAATAATCTGACACATTGTCTTAATTGAAAACACCTTCTAGGTATTCATATGGACCTGTAAGATAGTACATTGAGCTTATTTAACTGCTCCTATCCCTGTACTCAGGCACCCCATATAATTCATGTAAATAAATATTAAGTAAATAAATTAAAACACGGCTCATTGCAGTCAGGTCTTGGTATGTATTAATGTATGTTTAAGCACTCAGTAATCGTGTGTAGAGGAATTAGAGATAGCACTGTGGTGGCACATGCCTGTAATCTTAGCACTCGGGGAGGCTGAAGCAGGAGAACTGTAAGTTCCACTCCAGACTGGGCAGCTTAGCAAAACTCCATCTCAAAATAAAAAAATAGAATTGAGCTGGAAATGTAGGTCCGTGCAAATACCCTGGGTCCAAACCCCAGTATGACAATAAATAAATAAGTACTGAACCAAAAGATCATGTTTTGCCTTGTACGTAAGCTATCACTCCCTGTACGTATTCCTGGTTATATCATGACAGTTCAGAATGCTACTTTCCTCATATAAAAAAAGAAGTAACTCATTTTCTGAGTTATTGGTAGGATCAAAACAGAAAATGCATAATCAAAATATTTTTGAAACTTCAAAGCATTATAAATACAAGATATTTTTGTCATCTAATTTTTCCTACAATATTTTCCAAATAATTTTTAAAATTCATGACCTAGTTCAGAGCCTCATCATCCATCTCCTCTCAGATTACCACAAAATAATCTTGTAACTGTGCTACTTGCCTCCTATCTAACCCACTCCACCATCTCACTGTTTCTTAATATTCTCCAAGACCAATAATCCCAGCACTCTGAGGGTTGTATAAGTGCCCACATTAACCGATTATACCATTGGCACTCCATTCCGGGAGGCTAAAGCAGGAAGATCACAAGTTTGATCTCAAATACATAATTGTGTAATATACATATGCTTTTAAGGAGGTGTATTTACCTGAAAATGAATGCTAGAAAGGGGCAAAAAGTTATTAAATGTAATACCAAAATCACTACCTGTAAAAGAAAAAAATTGGTAAACTAATCCTCAACAAAGTGAAAAATGTTTGCTCCTGCAAATGACCCTACTAAGATGAGAAGTCAAGTTACCAAATAGGAGAAATATTTACAAACTATATTTCTGACAAAAAAAGTTGTCACAAATATATATATATATATATATATATACACACACATATACATACACATATATACAGATATATGTTTGACAAGGATTTATATCCAAAATATATAAAGAATTCTTACCACTCAATAGTAAGACCAAGAAATCCAAAGAAAAATAGGTAAAAATTTGAACAGGTAATCCATAAAAGAAGCTATACAAGCAGCTAGTAACATTGAGCATCCTTGGTAAGAAATGAAAATGAAAATTATAATATACACAATCCATCCATTAGAATGATTAAAAAGAAAAAGATTGACAATATTAAGTGTTGCCAGAACATTAAGCAATTACATATTGGAATAAAAGGGTATAATCACTTAGAGAAAGGAGTATGTTTTTATAAACATAAACCTACAATTACCCAACAATCCAGTCCATACCTAGAAATAGCCTAGATGTCCATCAACTGGTGAATGGGTAAACAAATTATGTTACATCTATAGAATAAAATACAATTCTGCAATCAAAAGAAATACAAGAGCATGCAAGAAAATATATAAACCTCAAAATCATTATATCCACTAGATGAAATCAGACACAAAGTATATCCATAGGATTTCATTTATATAAAAAGCTAGAAAATACCATCAATGGTCACTGAAAGCAGATCAGTGGTTGCTTTGGGCCAGGTCAGAGGAAAAAGGGACTGCAAAGGATCATGGGGAAACTTTCAAAGGTGAGAAAAATCCTTCGAATCTTAGTAATGATGATGATATTTTAAGTATGCATTATAAAATTCATGGAGCAACTTAAAAGAATACAGTTTATGGAAATTATAATTTTAAAACATTTTAAAAGATACAAGGTACTAAAAGTTGTAACAAGCAATCTTTAGCTATCTGCAACCAATCACCCTCTTTGCCAACATCCAGTCCATGGTAAGAATGGGAGGCAAGAAGCACACTACTGCTTGCCTCAGAAAGGAAGAAGCATTTACTGTGACATCTATAAGAATATACAACAGGATCAGAATCTCAGAGATGACTGGTATAAAACATGGTATCTATATTGCATAAATGTAAATTTATTACACAGATGTGGACATCTTCTTAAATTTATGTTCAAGTTATCCTGCATCCAAGTGACTGCCTACTTTCATAACATATACTGCATCCAGTAAGTAGTCTCCAGAAGACATAATTATTCATCACCCTCAACAAAAATCCAAAAAATGACTAGGCCAGTCTTTTCCTTTCAGTACACTGTGCTTTTAATGATGCTGGGATATTAGATCATATTAAGAAGTAGAACAGCTTTATTATACAATTTAGGTATACTCCCAAACCATACCTTTAAGTTTAGACTCCAGCCTAGTCTCACGGCTAGGATGACAAAAAATTTATTATACTTCTTGACAGACCTGGCCAATGAACCTAATCATGAGATTAGTCTTCCTAACCAAGTTGTAAGGAGTTGAGAGGAAACATTAACATATTTTCTTTTAAATTGTTTTCCATCTATATATGCCAAGAATATATGAAGATAATAGGACAAGTTTGAGGGCAATGAAATGTCATTCAACTAATGCACCCACAATTGGCAACACCCTGAAAAAGTGCATCAACTCTATTTAGCAAGGGCACATCTTTGAATACTATGACATAATAAGAGTAATTTTGCTAACAGCACAGTTACTTGGCATTGGCAAAATCTTTATTCAATTTGTTAATGGTTCTGGTTTCAGTCAATTACTTACGAAGTAGGGAACACATTTCTCTTTCAAATAAGACTGATTAAGGGTCTCTGAGATCTGAAGCCCTTTCAATTAATTGCTACATCAACAGCTAAATCTATCATGCTTTACTCAGGGAATTTCCATTTGTTTCAAGCTAAAGTAATACTTTTTATTACTTTTTATTACTCCTTTTCAAAGAAGAAAATTTTTAAATGACTAGACTCTAGTTTTCCAGCAAAATTTAAGAGAATAAAATAAATGAAGCATAAAAAAGCTTAAAATACAACCAAAATGAAAACAAAAAATATTTAAAAATACAAAATATAATTCACACCCTCCTCCCTTTACTATTTTTTCTCCATCAATAAATGAAAAATATTATTTTTCATAAGAAAATGAAAAAGACTAAACTTCAAAATTTATAAAGCAAA